AGTTTGCGTTTTTGCACCGGGAGTCTATAGCACAGGGTTGCCAGACCTGATGATTCCCTTCCAAGTGGTGCCTACCTTACCCCCCAGCTGCTTTTCATTATGACTGTACCCTTTGCCATCCTGACTAGGAGTCTCAAATTGTAGGCTCAGGGCCTTTGTACACGCCACGTTTTTTGCCCTTTCTTGTGCTGCAATGGCGTGACCGTTTGGACGAGTGGGTTTTCTGGACACTTTAAACTTCTTTCTGGTGGATTAAAGGGGGACTTCCACAGCCATGTCACAGATCACTGAGAGGTTGCACAGTGGGACTAAAGGCTGAATGGGGGACCAAAGTGAAGTTAACCTGGAATAAGTGAACCCACCATGTGCCCAGAAGGATTTGCCGTCTAGACAAAGGCTTGCTCTAACTCCAAGGGCATTTCCTTCATCTGGAAGCTATGAGGTTGCAGGGGAATGTAACCAAAATGTTTTCATTTCCCCAAATCAAGAGGAGAACGTAGTTTTCTCCTATACTTCCCATGCGCTTGCTTGAGTCATTTTCTGCCCTTACCCCTCCATGGTCTCAGAGGCTAGACCCCCAGCCTCCCCATGGGCTGAGTGCTGTGTGATGGCAAGGAGGTATGTGCGGCTCTCTCATTCACCCGCTGCTCTCCCGTACATACTCGGTGCAAACAGCAGTGTCAACAGGATTAATTTCACACATAAGGGGAAAGCAAATTGCATTCGGGCAGCAAATTGCATTCTGCATTCTCATTTCACAGGTTCTGCAAGACTCCAGCGTCAGTCACTCAAAGAGGCTTTTATCATCCTTGTAAAAGCCTGTACGCTAGGGGATGGGGGAGAGAATCTCATTTGAGTGGGGCAAAACTTTGTGCAGTGCCTACATCCTGGAAAGAGGCTCAGGATGTGTATTCTTCAGGCCTGTTCCATTCTGCGTGATTTAGAAACCTGGACTGTGCCGAGTCCTAGCATCTCGCTTCATTCCTGTGCTGAGGGACATGGGTATGTTGCTTTGCATCCCTTTGTCCTCCCATCATGCTTTGCTCAGGTAAATCCACTGCAAAATAAAAATAAAAAAACCCCGTTTTATCTCTGAAATGCCCAGGATAGCGATGGACGGGGGCTGAGAGAGAATTTTAATGTGTTTATGCAGCAGTATGGCAGGGAGGAGATGATGTAGCTACATCCCCTTCTTGTGAAGTTACTGAGTGTTTAAAGCCGAGGAGGAGCACACTTCCAGGATCTGGGTTTGGTTGGGAGAATAGTCAAGTTGCATTTATCATTTTTGAAACATTTCTCTGATCACAAGAGCAGAGGATTAGTAGGTTCTTGAATACCCCAAAGCAAAGGAGCTGACAGCTGTTACAAGTGTCGGACACCTGACGAGGGGCTGTTGTCTGTGGTTTCAAGCCCAGCTGCAGTCTTCTTTTCAAGGTATAGTTCCCCCTCCCCTCCCTACTAAGGCAACTCTCTTCCCCAGGACAGGAGCAATGATCTACACAGGAGGTAAACTTTCAAAGCAGTGCTTGTGGATTTAACAGAGACTCTTCCAAGCCTATGATCTGGCCTGTAACCTTTACTTGCTTGCAGTGCACCATGGTATCTTGTGTAGGAGCTGGCTGTGCACAGAGCAAGCTTCCTTCCACCTCCTGCGAACCTGCTGGCATTTAGGGGAGGTATTTTTCTGAGGCAGCCTTTGCAGACTTTATTCACACGACTCCTTGGTGCCCCCATTTCCAGGACAAACAACCGGTGTTTGCAGAAACCCCTGCTATTCCCTGGGGAGATGCTAGCCCCTGGGCATGGCTGAACCATGAGTGCATTGGGACATTTTGCAGGGGTGTTGGTTGTAGGGCACAGGCAGACAAGGGTCTTTGGGTAAATCCAATACCTTTTATTAGATCAACTAAAAGAGTTGGAAAAATACTTCTTTGCAAGCTTTTGGCTTTGTACCTGAAAGCTTGCAAAGAAGATTTTTTCTGACTATTTAAGTTGGTCTAATAAAAGGTATTGGATTTACCCAAAGACCCTTGTCTGCCTTGGGACATTTTGCGAACCTATCCCTTGCTGCACATCCATGGGATATGCAAATCCTTAGTACATTGCTGGATTGGACCCTCTACCTGTTTAGATACTCCGGTGAACTGTCTGGGACCCAGCGTCTTTTTTCAATTCATGATGCAGATGAGGCCAGGGGGTGGGCACCGAGACTCGTCTCAGCGGGGATTTATATGCGACTCAAAAAGGCACGTCCTGTGCTGTCTGCCTGACTGGATTTCAGGAGGTGAGTGGCATTATGCAGAGCTTACAGCTTGCTGTCTAATCAAGATGTGAGAGGTGTTGGAGGGGCACCGCTCTGCAGTCTCGCAATGGGAAGTTTTCATTTATTTTTGGTAAAGCCAGTCACCGAGCGTGATTCTTCACCACCCCTCACCTCTCCCTCTTAGCTATTTCCACTAAGACCAGGGGCAAAAGGAAGGGGCACTGAAAAGCAACCCCTACACAATAGATTTTCCGATCCCAGCAGGTTCGGTTTGCAAAGCTGATTTCATTTCCCAAAGATTTCCTTCCCCTTTATGATATGAAAGGAGAGCTGAAGGGAACATCTTGCATGGAGACCTATGGGATACCTCCTCCAAATGACCCCCTGCTGTTTGTCAGCCGGGCTGCTGTGACCGAGAAACTGAGCTTGGAGAAACAAAAGAGGTTTCCAGACTTTGTTTGATAGCCATTCAGTTAAAAAAAATCATAAGGAAGATGGGGGAGAGTAGGAGAAAGTAATTTTGCCCCTGCACCCAGTGGCATGGATTGAGCCATGAGAACAGGATGAAATTTTACCTGGCTGAGCAATACTCCAGCTAAAGGTTTCCCCTCAAAGAAACATGCTATAGATACTTTTAATATGCATCCATCTCCTGCTGTAATAAGGCCCCAGGCAATTAGCCATTTCAAACGAGGCATATTGCTCTGCTGGCGATGCAGGTAAATGAAAGCATGAGGCTTTTGTCTGGGCTAGGGAATGGGTTAATGGCTAGTCCTTCATTAAACATGAATTGTGTGAAGGATCTCAGGGAGGCTGACACTGCTGGATCAGGATGGTCTCAGCTTCGTTAAAACTAATGAAATCAACTACTTTAACCTGCCACGGTGTCTTTAGTTAGCTTCCTCTTGTGCAAACCAGCAAGAGAGGGTTGTGTAGAGGAACTTTGTCTTAAGCCTTGTCTTAATAAGGGTCTGTCTGCCTTTTCCTTCCTGAAGCAGAAATGGGAAATGTCAGAGGCAGGTCGTTTCTTGGAGCACTGGGGGGGGAAAAAAGAACACTTTCCAAACCTTGACAGCTTTATAGAGCTCCTCATATTTTAGGTGCTCATAATGTGAGCAGCTATGGTGGAATTGGGGGAGCAGAGACGGACGTGACTGGGGAACATATTTGTGCGCACCAGTTTTTTTGTGCAGGCTCCATCCCCGGGCCGTCTGGGCAGACAACGCCCTTTGCAAAAGGAGACTTCTCTTTTTCCTGCAGTCTCCATGTGATGGTGGTCCAGACATTATTGATGTGTCGAAAAGTAGTAGATTGCAGCGGGGAGGGAACGGGGAGAGTCTAAATGGAGGAGACGCGCTTCCCGTCTTCCTTCTCAAGTGTCAACAGGCAATTTCACACCTGTTGATGCAATTTCCAGGATGGAAATAACAGCTGCTGATGGCTGATTCTGCTCCTGATGATCGCTTAGATGGGCTTTAATTTAAAGCAGAAAAAATGGTGAGATGCTTCTGAAAGGTCTGTCAAAGCAGGGGTGTGAAGCATTGCGTGTCTGAAGATGAAATAGAAACGTTAGGTGTGCAGAAACCTTAGCTGGAAGAATCTGGAAGTCCAGTTGTCATTAGTCTGGCTGATTACTCAGTCCTGAAGGTGGCTTTATCACACGAACTGCAGGGTCTTTCATTGCAGCGTTCCCATAAGTGGCCTCTGTGTGGTTCAATAAGCGACCTGCTGAATTTAATACATGAGCACTATGAACAACATGATGGCAGGCCATCTTCCAGTGAACTGTGTTGCCCTGACTGTCAGCGGCGTGAATTATCTGCAGCTTCCATCGACTACCCCGGAAATTCCCGGTGCTCAAGCATCAAACCTCCTTACAGAGAACAAATGTTATGCCCCAAAACGGCACGAGTGTCTGAAACCCTTGAATGTGTCAACTTCCAAAGAGTCAGTGCAGCTGTGCTCCTCATACGACATCGAACCACGGAGAAGTCAGGTTGGAAGGGAACCCCAATCTAGCCCGGTGACTGTGATGCCCACAAAACATTTTGGGTAAACCATGCTGGGCTGTGTTATTACTATGAATGATGCTACCATCTCACGTAGTAGACTTAACTGAGGAGCCATTGTGTTAGATACACAGACACCTTTATGTGAACAGAGCCCAGCCCTGCCTTGAAGAATATAGGGTCTGTGCATTGCATATTAGTGGTTTTTTATATTACAGGAGATGTTGGGATACCAGTTGAGACCCAGGACCCCAGTGCTCTAAGCCGCCAGGCTCTCCGCTCCCAAGAGATCACGCTTTGAATGTCAGACAGGGCTCGACAGGTGTCCCAGACAGACAGATGAGGTGGGAGAGAGTGGGAGGACGAGGTAATGAATAGAGCCGGGCAGGAGGATGGGAGTCTTTGCTTCCTACCTGCCTACCCCATGCAGGCAGGAGTGACTTATCGGCGTCATGGCAGGGGGTGGCGCTTGACTGATTGCGATAGAAAGCTCTTCCCAGGCATGGCAACTCAGCACGTGGGTAAAGCCTATAAAAGGAGGGAGAAAAGGTAAGCAGGGATAGGATAACACCAGTCCTTGCTTGCCCACTGTCTGAGCGCTGTTTCGGTTGCTTCAAGGGATATTTTTGGGGTTTTTTTCTTATGGGCCCAGCATCAGTATAACCCAACCAGCTCTGGGACCCTTCCCCCTAACTGCCCCCATCTCACCACCTTCCCATGCATTGCAGAGTCCCTGCCGGGTGGTCCGTACGCGGGAACCAGCCGGAGCGACCGCGGACACAGGAGGAGCTGACGGATGAAGAGAAGGAGATCATCAACCGAGTGATAGCTCGAGCAGAGAAGATGGAGGAAATGGAGCAGGAGCGCATCGGGTAAGGAACCGACCTCGGGAATCATGCTGCGAAGCCTCCATCCAAGATGCTGTTGCAAGCCAGTGTCTGGGTTTTGCTGGGTTTCCCTGCTGACCGGGTGAAGCAGAGCTGAGAATTAGGGAGAGGGTTTGGGAATCTCAGCTCAGCTCAGCTCTGGGTGGGAACAGGAGTTGGCTGAAGCAGAGCTGAACCAGGAAAACAGGAGTGTTATTATGCAAAAAGGTTTTTCCAGCTTGGTGGCCGTCAGCGCAGGAGAACGGTTGCTTTGCTGCCGTAGGCAGCTTTATTAGGTGTGTCTCGAGTGGGTATGCAAAGCTTCATCACAAGAAGACTGATTTCCTCTGGGGCGGCCCACGTTCTAGAATCCAATTACACAAACTAGGGCGCCTTAATCACCTAGGCTGCGGCAGACCTTGGACCTCTTGTGCCGAAACAAAAAGGCCCAAATCATTTGGGCTGCAAAGTCCATTTTCACCCTTATTTGCTGGCTGGTGCTGCAGCCTGCATGAGGGTCTCCCTTGAGAGGGGAGCCCAGCTGTGCAAGCTGCTTTATTAACACATCACAAGAGACTGGACAGTGCAAATAAGGAAGGCAAAAGGGAGAAGGGGTGAGTGCAGGGAGTCAGGCCCTTTGGAAATGTGAGAAGGGAAGGAAACACATGCTGTAAGGCCGTTTTTGCTGAGTGGCTGCATGTGCCGTGCTTTTTTGTGTGTGCTGTAATAGCCTGCTGGCA